GTGAAAGCCATGAAATTTTTAATATTGCAGTGAGCAACAGTGTTGGAGTCCAACTTTGTTTTCCTTTTCTTCCATAAAACCTCTGCTGTAATTAAAGGACTGAATTTCACTAAACCCCTTCATTTGAAAATCCTAAACTGATCACTTACTCTGGACATAGATTTAAAACAAGGAGTGTTGATTTGCAGAATGAGTTTGACTTCTGCTGTGGCTGAATTAATTCAGAGCTTTGTCTCTTGTGGAAGATATATTTTGCATGATGCTACAGGAGACTCCTTGAGACGTGAGTCTGTGAGGTGGTTGTAAAGAGGAGTGTCACATTCACTTCACAAACTGTTGGGAAGAGGTGAATTGACTTGCTGGAAGGTGAACAGTAAATCAGAGTGCGGACAGAAAGCTTCCAGTATCCGGGGTACTTTTACTGACAGAGGTAATCCAATGGCAGAGACTCATTACTGAGTTCCAGCTCACCTTGCTGTTCCTTGCCTTCATAGGGGATGATGTGGCTCAGTTCCTGGGGAGTGCTGAGCAGCATAAAAAGCTCTTGGATCCTGTGCCAGAATCACTGGCTGCTTCTCCAGATTTTTACTTGGAGCCTGGAGCTCTGCCTGGCATGGAGGTTGAGAAGGACATTGAGCTGGGTAGGTGTGCCAGAGCCTCTGCAGTGCAGGGGAGCTGTTTGTGTTCTCGTCGGGTTGAACTGTGGTTCTGCTGTGACAGCTCATGAATGTAAACTTTGATCCAGGGCATGAGACTTACTGCATCAAATGGGAATACTGGAACAATGAAGAATACAAAATGTTTTTTGCCGTTCCAGCCAACCTTTTCCAGCTGGATGCAAAGGGATTTGCAATAAAGGTAACACATACGATGGTTATTGTACAAGAATTGTGAAATGGTAAAATCTCATCCATTAATACATAAAATGTAGTAAATCTGGCCTTCTTTTCTGAATTCCATACATGAAGTTTGCTACTTTGAGTCCTATTTCTAATTGTGGGTATAGATTAAAAGTTTCTGGCTGTGGAAAACGTCTTCCTTAGTAAAGTGGGAGAGGGAAAAAAAAAGATGAGAAGAATATGAAGATGAATAATTTTCATTTTATTCCAAAAATAAATGTTCTTTTTACGTACCTTGTAGGTGTATTCTCAGCCTGTGCCTTGGGATTTTTATATCACCCTTGAGTTACAGAGGCGTTTGAAGGCTGACTTTGACCAGAGCTTCAGCGAGAGCTGCAGCTGCCACCTGTACCGGGATGGCTGTGTCGTGGTGCACAGGGACATCAACCGCTTCACGCTCGGGGTCAGTACAGGCTGGAGGACACAGGGACTCTTGCTTGGGCACAGTAGTGACTTTGGCTGAAGAGCTTCCCCTGGTTAATCCTGCAATCTGGATCCTCTGGGTCTTATCCATATGCAAATCCGGGCTGTCTGTTATAGCCTCCCTTGGGTTTGGTTTCTCATCCGTAGATCATGTGCTTCTCAGAAGATGATCCTGAAGAAATTATTCACATTTTCTGTCTTTGTGAATGATAAAGGACCTGAGCCAAGAACCACATGTTATTCCAAACAAGATTTGCACCTAAAACTGTTGTTTAACTTCACCTGTTTCAATAAGTTCCCATCTGCTATAGCAAGGTCATAGAGTTTAATGTCTTGCTGAAGGATTTACATTTTAAATAAAGTCTTGTGAGTGCATTTTGAATTGTTGTGTATAAATAGGATAGAAATTAAATAGTGATTTCAATCTTGAGTTCAATTTTCTCCTCCTGATCTTTTGTCCACTTTTGAATAATAATAATGTCTCCTAGGAGCTCATGGCTCTTGTAATTCTGTGTGGGCTGATCATGGGCAAAATCTGATTATACTGAATTTAGGGTGGGACTGTTATCTCTGTACAGATGAGTAATGAAAAAAAAGGTGAGCTATAAATACTTGACCTAATCTAAGGTAGGATGGCACAGAGATACATGTTTGCTGTCTCTTTCCAGGATGTTATCCGTGGCCGCAAGTCCATCACTGAGGAAGTCGTCTTCCTGGTTGTTTATAATCTTCTGGGTGTGGTAGAGAAGCTGCACAAGGCTGAGATTGTCCATGGAGATCTGAGACCAGAGGTGTTCTTTCTGGGAGACAGGTTTGTGTCTGTGTGTGGATATGGGGGTACAGAACACTCACTGCAGCTACAGCTCTCGTGCTGCTCTCATTTCTCCTCCTTAGCTGGGGTACTGGTTTTGCAGTCCAGGTATTTTAGGCTGCAGCGTATTCTGGAAACAGTGAAAACACTTTGTTTAGGAATAAACCTTTCTATAGAAGGTTTACACAGTGATGTTGTAAAACTTGTGCTAAGCAAAATGGTGTTGCTATTGCCTGTGTTTTCAAGCTTCTACTTTACTGGACGTTTAGTGCACCGGACCTCTAACTGGATATGGTAACTTGCCTTTGGTTTTACATATCTGAAAACCAGGGAATTAGAAGACAAAGGACAGGTGGGACTGGAATATCCAGACACCCTTAAACAGACTGCTCAGCTTCCTCCGCAGTCCAGCTTGTCCCTTGATGCACAGATCTAGATTTGTTCTTGAAGCTCTTTCCCATATTATGTTAACAAAGTCTCATATCCCATGGAATGTGATCTGTGAACTAAGTGTGGGAAGCCAGTAACCAGAATGTCTAATGAATCAGGTAGAATTCCATTACATAAATTCACTGAGGCTGTTCTTAGTTATCCCTGATACGTTATAAATAGCTATTAACTTTAAATTTACTTAGAGCTTGCAGTCATCTAATATGCACACCCCCAAGATTTTTTATTTAGAATTTCTTTGTGATTATTTTATTAATTTATATTATTTACTTAATTGTAAATTACATACATACACACTGGAGTTCTTATATTTTCTTCACACCCTACAATGGGTTGTCTTGCACATGCCTTAGGGTGCTGCATCCTATTTTGGAAGTCACTGATCTAATAGTGGCTTGATGGGCTTGGATATCTTCTGCTGGATTTCTCTGTGGCAAATAAAACAACCCCAGCTGCCAAAAAGTTAGGATAGTGGTTTGGGTTTTTTAAGATAACTAAAGGACAAGTGCACAGTATAAATTAAAAAATGTGCTCAGCACACAAATCTGTAAGAAGAATAGTAGTGAGAGCTGTGGTCTGTGGATATTGTTGGCTTGGCAGTCCTTGATACAGATACTCCTCCCTGCCCTTCTTGTTTGTCCTCCCTCGCCTCTAGACCAGGAAAGGTTTGTTAAAGCATTATCAAGTTTAATTATTTTTGTATGAAGCATTCTGAGATCCTGAAGGAGAGGGGTGAGTGCTAAGCACTGCACTATTGTCCTATTGCACAAACTGTGCTTGGATAACTGTGACCAATATTAAAACAGCAGCATCCTCAACTCTTTGGCCTTTCCCAGGGGTCACTGGAGACTCCAGTGTCAGCCCTGGCTCCCAGCTGCCAGCTGCTCCTGTCCAGGGGCAGCCCTTGCAGCAGTTCTGAAGGCAGCCATCAGAGGGGAGCATTGACATGGCTAAGACTCACCTTCACTGCACTGTTAAATTAATTACAGAAAGAAAAAGTTTGTTGGATTGTCTTGTGCTTCACATGCTTCCTCTGCTCAGGATCTGTGATGCCTTTGCTAACGAGGACATGGCGAGTGCTCTGAAGGTGGTGGATTTCTCTCACAGTCTGGATTTGAGGTTGCAGTCTCGAGTGAGCTCGTGCAACAGCTTTCCCATATCTCAGACCCCTCATGGGCAGCAGCTTCTGGCAGCAAGTTCTCTTCCTTATCAGGTGAGTCTCTGTTTAGCAGGACATCTTAGTTTCTGTGTTTCCTTTGCAAAAATCTATTTCCTTAGGCTGCAATTTTCAAGTGCTGTGGAAAGCTCTGACCAGTAAATACTGAATTTGACACCTGATAGAATCTTTGGCATTAAGTGAAGGGGTCTAGCAGCACTGTTGAGTGTCTGTGACTACTGTATTTATCTAGAAACCTACAATAAAACCAGAAGTTTACTTCTTGAAGTTTTCTTGCTTAACAGTCTCTGGAAGGTTCTGGTGCAAAGACCAATCCAGACTTAAATGTGTGAAAGCACCAAAAGCAGAAAGCTGTAATGGATTGCAGAAAGTGACAGGCACTGAACTTTGTGATGTTTGTTGTGATTCCAGGTAGACTTGGTTGGCATTGCAGATATAGTCCATTTGATGCTGTTTGGGGATCATATCCAGGTCTATCAGGAGAATTCCATCTGGAAAATCAGCCAAAACTTACCAAAGTAAGTCTTTTTGCAGAGGAGGCTGCTGGGAAAGAACAGACATCTAACTTCATTTTCCTTATAGTGGTACCATCCTCAGAGCTTAGAACATGCAACTTGGGGCTGTTGCTGCCAAAAAGTGTTAGCACTGTGGGGACTGAAACTGTGAAGCTGTTGGACTTGTTCACTGGTGGCCTCAGTGCTTAGGAGACAATTTTAAGCTGAATACGAACAGTCCAGTGAAGATGATTTTGCTTTTTGCATCCTTTCGGACCACACTGCCTTAGTCTCTCTCTTTGCACCTCACAGCCCAAGCTTGGAAAAGCTGATAAGTGGGTGGGTGGTGAGGGGAAAGAAAAGATCCCACGAGCATGTTGCTCTGGGAGTGGATTTGGTTTGGTTTGCTCTTTTTTCATTCTGCTGAGACACTGAGGCCAGGGTTGTCTGTAGCAGTAGCAGAAACAATATACGTGCACAGGAAGGAAAAGAATTTACAACTGTCATTTAAGATGCAAGTGCAAACAGCTTCTTTTTGGAAGCTGCTGTTTGTCCTCAGGTATTAATTGCTACTGCTCTCTTTTAGCCACGTGTTTTGGCTGTTAAGATTGCTCTGCCTTCCTCTGCCCTTTTTTGGTTCTTAGACTTGTTCATGTTCTTAGTCACATCCTGCAGCATCCTCTGCCTTGGCATTTCATAAGGATTTTCCAGAACTCTCCCCCCTAGGACAGCAATTGCTGTGTTCAGGGTCACGGATACTGGTTGCACTGCCTGTGTGGATACACTCCTGAAAGCACTTCCTTAAGGAAACCTTGTGCCAGTGTGGAGCTGTCCAGTTCCCTAGCAACCTGCACTGCTCACACCTCCGAGCTGGTTGTGCTCAGCCTTTGGAAAAAGCCTCATGGGCTGCTGTGTACAGGGGGGAAATGCCCTTTTTTTTTCTTTACTAGTTTTCTAACTGATTCTTTTTTAATTCTGCAAGAGATTAAACCGAGCTACTGCAGATGAAACCACACAAGGCCTGAGTTGAGAAGGTTGGAAAATGGTGTTGGGGACCTGATCAGGATGTGGGTATGGGAAAAGTTGGGATAACTGGAGCAGGAGGAATAGTAAGTCTGAATTTGGAAGGATAGGGCTGGAGTTTGGAGGGGAGGGGTCAATTGGAAAGGAATTGCAGTAAAAGCTGGTGACACTGGATCAAAAAAATTACGATTCTGATAGAGGTAGAATTTCGAGGGAGACTTGGGCAGAAGAGGAGTGAGACCTGGAAAGGATTAGAGGAGATGAAGGAAGAAGCTGAGCATGAGTTCTGTGGAGCTGGAACCAGGCTGGAATGGCTCATTGCTCACCTGGGTGCATCAGTTCATAACTTGGGAGTTATAAGGAATTTCTTTTCCATCCCGTCTTGCGCTTTGCTTCTGAAAGTGATAGAGATTTAGGGAAAGGTGAATGTAATTCTGATCAAGTTGCTTTTTTCATCTCCGAGTGTCACTAGAGGGCTGGCAGCCTGGTTTTCAGGGGAGGGGTTTTACCATTATTAAAGAATGGATTTGGGGATGTTTCAGTTCCCAGAGTCTTTTTAGTTTTTCTATTTTTGCTATACTGTTTTAGGAAACTTCATCTGTGCAAGTTTGTGAGGTAGGATATAGAAACTGTGTTTGAATTTTTAGGACTCTTTTTGTTACTCCTTACTTTTGAACTCCTTAGACCTCCTTACCAACACTTAATCTCTTCTGCTATGCCTCTTACTCATCTAAGCCCACGAAGAAAATGGCCTCAAGTCTCGCATATTTTTTGCTGGGTTAGGTTCTGCATGACTTAATTATTTTAGCAAATATAAGAGTTACTAGTGTAATTGTACAGGCTGGATTCCTTCCGAGACTCTGGCTGCTGCTGTTTGGTGAGTCACTTATATAAAGCAGAGGCAGATAGTTTGTTCCCAAGCCACTGTACCTCCTGGCTCGGGGGAGAAAGTGCTGCAGTACTCAGTAGCAGTGCAAGACTGAAGAACAAAGGGTTAGCTCTGATATCAGTTTGCCAAGACTTAAATGAGTCACTTAACCTTTTTATTCATGTTGTGTGGGTACATCTGGGAGAGAGGGGATTTATTCCTGTGAATTGTCTCTGAAATGTTATCTATACAGAACTCTGGCAGATGGAAGGCTGGGAAAAAAACAAAGTAAAACTGGCTGTAAAACACCTTTTAAAAAATTATTTTATTTCTCTTGTAGCTTTCCTTTAATATTGCCTTGTTAACTTAGCTTGCAAGTGGGGAAAAAAGATTTACCTCTGCCTCTTCTTCCTGAAAGGATTCTGCCAAGTTTGTTGGTTCAAAACTGTTCCTGGTAACTCCTTTAAATGCCAAGTGCTGTGGCTCAGTGTGAATGGGGACAGTGCTCAGGTGCACTAAAAGAGGTAACAGCACAAACAGGGGGGTTTAGATGTGTGTGATTCCTATCCAGAAGCTTACTGGGGAAAGAGCAAGGGGCCCATGCACATGCAATGAACAACACATTCCTAGTTTGCCTTGACTGGAATGGCTATTTCAGGGTGGATCTCCCGGGATGTTTAGTGCTGAATATAAATGCAGACCCTGACAGACGTGTGTGTGTTTGTGTGTGTGTGTGTACTGTTCCACTGAACACTGCTCTGTTTGTTTTAGGACTGTTGACAGTGATTTCTGGAGTAAACTTTTTGGGAGAGTTCTGAATGCAGGTGGTAAGTCCACAGCGCCTCTGCTGCGGGAGTTGAGAGAGGAAATTGGTGACATGTTTGACAGCTGTTTCCAAGAACGACTTTGTGAGTCCTTAGCTGCCCTGGGAGTAACCTTCCTCCTCTAGAACTTCCTGTGACTTCACAGAGGACAAACACACCTTGTATTATAGAGAAGAATTTGTTGTTGATTTCTTATTTATTTTTTTCCAATGTAAGCATGACAGCGATTGCAGCCGTGTCTGCGGTGCTTCACATGGGACTTGCTAAAGGATGTTTCTGTTGCATCAGTGCCCAGATCACTTAAGAGGCTTAGGAGGTTAACCTGTGTCTGAGCAGTTTGCCAGAGAAAATTGTTTGTCATGTCTGACCAAGCCCTTGTACAGCTCCTTCAAGATGTGTTTCATACCTGGTTCACACCGCGCTCTTTGGAATGGCTTTGTCCTGCGTTCAGTTGGCCTTTCAATTAGTGTTTGATCAATAAAGTTGTCTTTTGAGAGCAACTCAGTCACATTAAACACTGCTGTCAGATGGTTTTGAAAGACTGGGTTTAGTGCTGGAGCTGCTGGGGATGTTTTGTGGCTGCTGGATACAAGAGCCCCCCGTTTGGTGGCTCCTAACCACGTGGCATTTCCTGGACACTGGAACATAACCTGGATGGTTCTGCTTGGAATGTGCTCTCATGGATGGTTGTCATAAGAAAAAGTAGATGAAGACGTGAGTGGAAAAGCCACACACTTAATTTTGGCTTCTTAAGGCATTTTGTTTACTTTTGCAAGGGCTGCAGTTCCTGATTGGATTTGAGCATCCTCCAGAAATCTCCCTGAAGTCTCAATTTGCCATAAGTGAAGTGTTTGCAGGTTTTTGTGCGAGGTTTTGTGGATAGATATTTGTGTTAACCTTTTATACATTCTATTACTGAAACCAATAAAAAGGCTTCATTTTATTCAAGACAACAGAATTTACATGATCCAAACCCAACGTACTATGTACTTTAAATGCAGAGAAACTCCTCAGACTTGGCATTTACTTCCTCACAGCTTCTGCCACGCATGAAAGTGAGAGCACACAACTGCTTCACCAGGAACTTTATTCTCCCTGGAAAGCCAGACTGGCTGGGTTCTTTCATTTGGTTCAATTGTCCAGCTATGGTTCTGTTGATTGTCCTGTTTGTGTTGTCTCCAAATTCTGTTCTGGAACTTAATTCTGGTTTTTTTTCACATGGCTACAAGCCACCTTGTTTCCAGTTTTTTCTGCGTATTCCAGCACTACTCCTCTTGCTTTGGCCTGTATTCTTTTTCCTCTCCCAGCTTCTTAATGCCTTTTTTTATATGCTCTTGTAAGTCAGGAATGGGACCTAAATGCCCTGATAGACCAGCTTTAATATCTAATGTAAAGTGCTGCAGAAGAATTTATTTTGGTCCATTAATGCCTTAAATAATGCTTCTTGTAGTACAAGTCATTGATAAGTCATGTACTGAGCACGCAGATAAATAATGATTTGTCTCTAGCCAGAGTTAAGAGCCAAGATCACTGGTAGAGCAACAAGGAGTCCAATGCATAGCTAAGTTCTGCAAGCTCTAAAAACATTGCATGTTTGTTCTTTAGCTGAAATTTATTTTCTTTTGCTGATCCTCTAACTTTTGCCTTTTAGACAAAATCTGGGGGGGTTTCACTTCCTCCTGTTTGAGTTTATATCCTGCAGCACAGGTCTGAAAACCAGGCAGCTTAGGAAGAGAACATTGCTAAGCAAGTATCGCTCACCCCAAGGACTTCTGAGGCAAGACATGTTTCCAGCCAGTACAGAACAACTTCACCACGTCTAACTCAGACAGAAAGCCTTTGAGAACAGCCTGAATGCACAGATAAGAGCTCTCAGCAGAAGTTCAGCAAAGGTCTTTAAAAGCTGTAAGTGAACCTATTTGTCTATAAGGAGATGTATTTCAAAGCTGCAATCCTCTACTATTACTTTGATGTTGACTTGGCACCTGTTTTCTTTCTGAACAAGAAGTGTGCTAAATCCTTCTCCGTGTAATAAGCCTGCCCCTCATCAGTTAGTCTTCATGTATGTCCCAGACAACACAAAACTGCCCCCAAGTCCTGTAAAATAAACACAGCAGTGTTTATAACCCTGGCTGTAATAAACACACACAAATACCAGAGGGAGGAGCAGGGATAACAAAGAGCAGTCACCTCTTGTGCTGGTTGTTCTGTTCTACTCCAGTGAAACTCTGCCTCTCTTCCACACAGGTAAGTCTCTGCTCCCCCAGCCCACGAGCTCATTGCACCAACACGTACCAGGAGGGCAGGGAGGTCTTTTGACATCCTTGTGTATGTTCAAGTAACTCTGCCTCCAACCTTCAAAGCTTTTCCTAAGCATCACTTCTGAATCATTGTGTAACAGGCAGATGCTCTCACAGGCTGGGATTGTCACAGACTTGTCACGAAACAGGAGAGAGACCAGCCTTGCCCATGAGATACCTGGAGATAAAAATTGTCTTAGCAGTGCCTAAGGAAAAGAGGCAACTACAGATCCTGGGATGACAGGAAGTGCCTCAGGGGGTGGCTGGCAGGGTGAAATGTGTGAAGGGTGTACAAGTCCTAGTCAGGTTATCACAAAACAATATGGTGATGGAATCTGAGCTCTAGCAAGTTTTAATACACTGTTATATACATAAAAGTGCACCAAGGAAAGTAAATCCAAGGAATAGATCATGGTTGTACCAGGTTATTTGAGAAAAAAAACTTGACCAGAGATACAACAGGGATGTCTGAAAGATCTCTGCAGTCTTGAAGTGCTTTGATTCAGAAGCAGTGAGAGAATCAAGCTGTTAATGTCCACTCTATTGTGTTAAGTGGAAAGGGGTCTAGAAATAATGGCAGGAAGTCACTAAGCCACAAAAATATGCTACCTATAAAAAAATGGGGGCTGAGGGAGCTGTGGGTGAGGCAAACCCCACAGGTGTGAGCCATTTTCTGCCCTTAAGCTCTGGAGCTGCAGCTGGGGTTGGAGAAGTTGGTTCCACTGTCTCTAGGGCTCCTGGGGAACCAGTGCCCACACACAGGTGCTCCAGGTGACCCCTGAGTGCCAGGGAGTGGAACCACCAATGGTGGGACAGAACCTAACGACTTTCCAAGGTACACCTGCACATAGTTAAATATATTGTGAGCTGGCACCCACCTGACCCCTGAAGAGATCGTTGTAAGGAAGCTCAAGGAAGGCTGAGGAGCATTCGTCATCTGCTGGTCTCAAAAGGTATGTGATTTTTAGATTTAAAATCCTAAATCTGACATAATTGATAAAACTTAACAGATATATTCTGAGTGCAGTTATCTGAGACTTTCCCAGCCTGAGGTCTGTGTTATACTGATCAAGAGGTGTAAGCTTGGCCTTGTGCTAGCAGGTAATACTTGGCTTTTTGATTTTCCAAAATGAACTAGAAGGGGTAGGAAACTCAGCAGGGCTACAAGGATCTTGTGTGGTTATGCAGGGAGAACACTAGAAGGGCCAAAGCCCAGTTAAAGCTTAACCTGGGTACTGCAGTAAAAACATAAAAGCAACGGGACAAACAACAAAAGGAGGGCTGAGGAGAATCTGTGAAGGGTGTTGGGGCACCCTCAGTAAGAAGTGGTTGAGTCACTATTCCTGGAAGGATTTAAAGGATATATAGAGGTGGCACTTGGGGACGTGGTTTGGTGGTGGGCTTGGCAGTGGTTGGGCTCTTAGAGGTCTTTTCCAGCCTTAATGATTCTGTTATTCAAAGTAGACAAATCACCCCTCCTGCATGTGTGTCAGCAAGTAATTCTAAACCTTTCCTCTGGGCTGCTGCTGATTTCCCACTTAATAAATATTCCAAATGACCTGGGGCTGAAGTGCAGCTCCTGAGGTGCTGTGCTCCAGGCTGTGCCCGGTGATTTCCCCTGAGGAAACCTGTGTACAGAAGATGAGAGTTCTTATTCCAAGAGAGTTATTTGGCTGTGGGCTGCAGAACTGCTGGTTAGAGTCTCTGCTTTAGCCTGGGGCTATGGGCACTGCATTTACATTAACTGTGCTTATACAGACTGCCCTTAAAGCTGGATAAAGGACACTTTACCAGCTTCATCCTCTGGGTTCTTAGTGTTTTACACTCATTGCTCCTCTGCTTGGTTAATCCAGCAGAATGCCATGGTTGGAAACTTAGAAATACGAAGGTTTCATTTCCATAACATTTTAAATTATTAAACAACATGTGGATATTGAGGTCACTAAGTAAGACTGGGGAAAAATGTTGTTCCTTTTGTTGGTTCTATAAATGGTTGTTTCCTACTCTCCTTTTGTAATAATTACTATCCAGAGCTATTTAATTATTGATCCCGTGGCTCCAGCTGGTGTGACAGTGTGATTTACAAAGCAGGAGCAGCACCTGAGGGACACAAAGGCAACTGTTCAGGTTCTGGGCCTGAGCTGATGGTTGTTTTCCCAGTGCTTTGGATTCTCCTCAGTTTTCAGGATCTCGAGCTCTGTGGTTCCTTGAAGCTACACTAGTCATATACTTTGATGTAGTGTGGTACTCTGTGTAATCATTCACTCAGGAATCATTTTGTAGGGAAAAATGTTGGAATAGTGCAGAATTCAGTGGTGAATGTGGCTTGTTGGTGTGTTCCCTTAGTATCTGGTCAAAACAACCAGCAAAGGCACTGGGCTGTTCTGCCCCATCTGCAGCTGCTCCTGAAGAGCCAGCCTGGGTTGGTGCTTCACCTCTGTGTGAACTGAACTGGCTGCAACTTGTCCTCTCCTGAGCCTGTTCCCTTGGTTCCCAGCCCAGCTGATACCCTTTGAGAGAACAATGGCAGAGGGCACCCCTTGTTTTAGTGGCACATTCCCTGCTCCTGCTGTTTGTAGGAGAACTAGGAACAGCTTTTCCTCATGCAGATTTACTGGAGCCGCAGTCTTTTATCTTAGAAACTCTGGCTTAGATCCTGTCTAAAAGCAGCAGGTTTTTATCAAGATGTAAAACAAGTGTCAGCTGGGAGGAGTCCTGACTAGCCAGAACCAGAAACCTTACCCTTAGCTGTTAAGGCAGTCTCTGATTTGCTTAACATGGGCAATGTGTAACAGGAAAAGTCCATTTTTATGCAATTAGAAAAGTTATTATTCCTCCTTATGTCCTGGAAAAGCACGTTTTTCACTTGGGGAGTTGGACAACAATGGAAAACTCTCTATGATCCCATTCTCAGCTCTTTGAACACACAATTCCCACACAGCTGAACATGGGAGCCACCTTCACTGCATCTCTGAGCATTCATTTCTGCTCTACACGTGCTCCATGCACCAAGTCCAAAATGGTGTTTTCCTTCCTTTCAGCTGAGCTGAGGAGGCCTTTATGCAAGTCAGCAGTACATATGTCCACACATCAGAACATTCTCAATTACAAGCTTAAGTTTCTGTGGGCTTTCACTGTATAGCACATTCTTCACTGTCTTAAACTTTATTGTGGTTTCTACGGTGATCTTTCCTGATGCATCCCCAGCCTTTCCTACAGGATGCTCAGCAGTGTGGGTGGAGTGGGAAAGGCAGAACAACTGCTGTGTGAGGAGGAACACACTGGTGCATTGGATGAGGCTTATGGAAAAGAGTTACACACTGGTCCTCTTGAAATGGGAGACAGCAAGTTAGGAAATGCTGTTTGAGTAGTTGGCCATGCTAAAAAGGAGAGATGAGAGCCCTGCTTCTCCTGACTTTTCCTACCATTTCATTACAGTAAAAGCCAACCTGTTGGGTGCTGAGCTGTGGATGCTTTAGCAAAGCCCTTGTAATGCTTTTGTAGTTTTGTTAAATTTGTATTATTGAGACAAAGAGGGTTCCAGACTGAGGACAAACCTTCCCCTGCCCACTGCTCCTGGCTCTGCATGAGACTGGACAGGTCATGGAAGCTTGGGTTTGCTCATTTATAAAACTGGTATTGTACTTTTAGGTATATTTTCTTACCTACATATGCATACTTATAAATTTTTCACTTCTGCAGAGGAGAAATGGCTCATAAAACCAAGGTAACACTACACTTAGTTGCTGCTTTTCCTCACCTGCTTTGGGATTGGAAACTTCTCCCTGCCACAGTGGTGGTTTTGGGAAGTAGAAATGTGCAATGCAACCAGTAATATGGCACCAAAACAGGTTTGGTATTGATTAGTATCCAGAGACTAAGAGAGGGAAACCATTGCTCTGCCTGGTGCTGTTGTTTAAGCTGGAGTGTAGCTGTTCCACCAGCTGCCAAGATCCAAGCTGTTTTCTTTGAAAACCTAAGGGGTTTTTTAACTTTTACACTGGATTTTGGGCCTTGACCTGTATCTTGGTGAATAATTCTTAGCATCCAACTTGTGGGATGTCACTCTCCTGTCAGGTTTCGGTGTGATAGATGGTTGCATGTTTGGTTTGGGTGCCATACACATAAATAACACTCTTTTGATGTCTATGGTAGCTTAACTGGTCTTAAACCATCCTTTTATTCCAAGAGCATTTTAAAATTATTATTTTTGTTTCTGTCTAAGTTTATAATCCTCCATTTCTTCTCTCTTCTGTGTTTTGTAGTTTTCATATGTGCTAAATGTTTCCTTCTGTGAGGGTTGTGTTGATGTGCAGTGGCAACCCCATAGCCAGGGCCAAGGCAGCCAGTCCCAGGAGCTGCACCCTGCCCCTCGGGGTCCCTCCAGCCCTGCATGTTCTGTGATCCCAGGAGTTATTGCAGAGCCTTTCCAGAAGCCAGGCTCTCTGTGACTCCAGAAGCCAGGCTCTGTCCTCCCACAGGTGTATCTCAGTGATGCTGCAGAGTTTTTTGGGGGTAGAAGTTACTACACAGACACAGTTATTTGCCCTCAAAAGCAGTGAGGAGCTGGAAAGCTGAATCCAGCTCTAATGAATGAAGTCCCAAAGCTGGCAGCATTCAGCACTTTGATGGGCTGGGGATATTTTCTAGCAAGAAAATTAATTTCTGAGACTTGTTGACAGAAACATCAGGAATGGATCTGCTGCCTTTGTCTCCACCCACCCCAGCCAAGAGTGGGGGGAGAGAAGCAGCTTTTTTATAAATAGCTCCGTTCCTGTTGTATTTGTAAATTTGGTGCTTTTTGTGTCAGTGACATCACCCTCTTCTCCATGGCAACCCCCTCTGATAGCAAAACTGCAGGGCACTGCCAGAGGAACTCAAACCAGCACATGAACAGGTTGAATTGAGATGAGTTAATTGAGAAATAGTGCAGGGGCAACAGGAGGGGGTGGGAAACAGCAGCGAGGAGGTTCCTGCCAGCTCTGCTGCCCCGGAAAACTGTCCCCTGGAATGGCTGTTTCCCAGAGCTCTGCCCCATCTCCTCTTTGTGTAAGTCCCTGTCAGGAGGAGGCAGGTGGAAGGCAGGCAGGCATCTTATTCCCCATCTCCTATGTGTCTGGAGAGCAGCACTACAGGTGACTAAGCAGGAGGAGCATGGCTGACTCACTCCTGAGTTATTTTCTCACTCCTGTTCTCTTCCCCCTCCCATCTTTTCTGTTTGTTTTTTAGCTTTGACCCGACAGTTTGCATTTTTCCTCAGGCCCTGATGTGAAAGAATTAGCAGCAGGCTTTCTTGTTACCTAATGTTCACAAAAATGTGCTTGTGGTTATCCACGGGGGAAATGGAAGCCAACTCCAAAAGCAAGAAAAGAGAGTTCTCTGGATAAAACACCTCCATCTTAAAAAAAAAAAAAAAAGTGCATCTCCTTTCTGAATTGTTGTTCAGGAAATACTAAAGTGACTGACATGCCAGAAAGCTGTAAATAACTGGCTTCTTTATCAAGATACCTGTGGAAAACACCTAATTGCCTCACTGGCTGCCCTGCTGGTCTTGACTTGATTTCTGACCCAGCTGCAGTGGGGGAAGCCATTGCACTTGCTGCCTTGACTACAGCATTGGGTTCTGCTGGTTTCCACTTGGGACTGAGGAGCAGGAACGTAATGGTTCCAGCTGCTCCAATCAGCTTCATAAATCCGTCCTCATTTACACACCTATGAAGTCTGAAGCCTTAGAACAGTTTCCCTTCCTTCTGCAGGGTGCCAGGAGACCTGGTGCTGAAATTTAGCCTGCAGAGGTGTCAGCCTTGTATTAGAGTTGGTGTTTTTGTGACACAGCGGGACACACGTTGGTCTGGTGTAACTTGTCCAAGGTTCCCCGAGTCCTGGCATCCAGAGAGGGGCAAGGCAACACTCCCCACCCTGGGAAGGAACTCTGTGACGGGGTAGCACTGCACCTGCCAGTCATGGCCTGCTGTTTGCAGGGCCCAGGAGCCTTGAACCACAGACTGTCCCAGAGTGAGGCTCTGCTACTGCAGCTCCCTCCCCATCCCAGTGTGAAGCCAAGCCTGTGATTTCCAGGCTTGGTTGAGGGGAAATGCACAGTCTTTACACACCGAAATATTGATGAGTATCTTGCTCTTGCCTTTTGTGCAAAATGCCACTCAAGGCACTGTGCCATCCTCTCTGCTGAGCTCACAGCATCAGCCCACGACAAGAAAGGTCCCAGAAAACATTGACTCACTGCATCCCAGCATCCTGCCAGGGGACGTGTCTGCAGTGAGATCTCCTCAGCTGGAGCGAGGTTTAATGGAATGGATCACTGTGAGGCTGTTTTACCTTCCCTGAGTGTGCTGCCACCTGTGCTGCCTGCCAGGACAAGGGCTGGGGGGCACTGGGATCGCTGCCAGTGCTGGGCAGGACACAGCTGGAGCTGGGGGTTTGCATGTGCAGGAGGAGCTTTCTGGAGAAGCTTTCAGATGAAATTGCTGAGAATTTTTGCCTGAAGCAAGGGATGTTTCCCATGTTTAAGACAAGCAGTAACCTGCAGTTAGAAGGAAGAAGGGACTGAATTCACTCCAGAAGTATTTCTCCAGGATCTTTTTTTCAAGGTAAGCCTGCTCTTGTGGGAGGTAGATGGGGCAACAGGGTCCACTGTTCTGAACTCTAAAACTGAGGCGATTTCTACATTTTGTTACCTCCCCAAGCTGTAGAACTGAAATAAATCTGTCTCTGGCACTCCCTTTTTAGGCTGAAAATTTAAATTGGCCAATAAGAACTAATTTTCTGAGGTCTGAAGCCTTAAGAAAGGGGTGAGGGAGGATGTTTTTTAACACTGCCGTGTGCCTGCCTGTGTTCTAGTGGTGAATGAATGCCTGACTGTGCCTCTAAACCATGTATTTAAATAGCAGAATAATGGGCGTTGTACAACAGTAGGTGAATGAAAGTAAAATGTAGTAAATAGACATCAGCTTATGGTTTATTAATTTTATTAAGTGGTTTTAAACATTTATAGAGTATTTGTTGTCCTGTAGGAGGCAAAATGATGGTTCCTGCCTTGAACTGGAAGGTTTTTAATTGGCACGGTTTGAAGAAATGTTGGTGAAAGCAAGAGAAAGGAGATAGATGCTTAAAAAAACCCTATCTGAATGGCACCTGAACAACCAGTTCATTGCTGTTGAAAACTATTTGTGGAGAGACCAGAGGAGAGGTCCTTGTCCCAGCTGCAGGAAAAACCTTATTTAAGGTAGGAAAAAAATACCTTGAATGTACAGAGATGGCTCTGAAAAATACCTGGTAACATCTAAAAATTGTGTAATCATCTCCTCCTGCCCAGTATAAACCATAAACTGAAACTCCTCCTAGCTGGGAGCCCTCCAGACTGAGAGTTGTGTGCTTAGGTTGTGGGGGGTAAATTACAGTCCTTGATGAAAGTCCAGTGGAGGTGCTGGAGCCTGGGAGGAATGCACTTGCTGAGCCTGGAAGTGCAAGGCAGAGTGTCCACATCTTCCCTTTGCACACTGATGGATCTGATAGATGTATGCAGTTCTCTTTTGCCCATGGGAAAGGAATAGTATGTGTGCCCATAAAAGCAAATCCACCTTCTGTTTAGGGAAGTAACTGTAGTCTGTAAACTCTTGGAAAAAGCCTTGTCGACTCTGTGAGGAGTGAAATGAAAATGCTTTTGGCTGCTGCCTCTTCCTTTCCCCAGGCTGGGGGGACTGGAGCGGTGCCTTCAGGGAGGTTTGTGCTCTGGGAGGGGTGAGGCTGCCCGGGGAAGGGCACCTGTGCCCATGTGGAGCCAGGGGTCTGTGCCAGGAGGGGCCGGTGCCCGCAGCCATTGCATAACCCTGGGCTGGCTCCACTGCCAGGCACTGGAGCAGCCAACGCGCTTGGATGCTGTGCTGCAGTTGGATTCCACTGGGTGGAAGTAGTTGAGGGTATTCCTGCCAACTTCCCAGGCAGGAGTCATCCGTTCTGCCTCTGTCGCTCGGGGAGCATGAATGAATGACTCTTGAAACATTCATGTAGAGCAGCTTCCAAGAATGCTGCGTACTGAAGCCTGGAATACATTGTGATCTGATTCATGATCCAGGGTCAGCAAAGGCTTTGAAGAGGTGTTTACCCAGTGGGTGGACACGCTGCACTTCAAACTGCCCAAGAAAACCACAACATCAGAGGGCAGGGGAGCAAAGTGTGAGCAAAGCCCCAGAGGAGCAGGGGAACCAAAGAGGGACAGTAGGAGCCACAAGCTGTGGGCTGGTGGATGGGACAGCACAGCAGCTTGGGGATCTGGGGGGCTATGGAAGGTGCTGTTGCTCTTGGCAGTGTCACTTGACATCATTTTAGGTTGGAATTCTGCATAACCGGTGTTCAGCATGGAATGGTTCTTTACATGGGTAAAACCTTGTGTTTTGGCTGATAGGATTTCATGGGAGAGGGAGGCTTTCTGCAGCTCCAGAGAGGGATCAACAGAAGGAAACAAGTGATGCTGCTGAAGAATGCAAAGTAGAGCAAGCTAGATAAAGGTGATCCTAATTGAGGAGGAGGGTTGGTATTTAATTAAAACTACTTCTAAAACCCAGGCTCTTAGCAGTAAAATAAATAATAGCAGGACATGAGTAATTCCTCTTGGGGGAATGTCAGAGACAAAATTACAGTAATGTAATAATGAGGGGCCTGTGTGCAATTGCTCAGAGGAATAGGAACAGGGTAGAAGGATTTTTCACTGCTAAGAAGTTCAAATGTGGTTCAAGTCAAAAGGGACCGAAGCCTGTTAAAGCACAAGCTGTTTGGGACTCTTGGGCTGTCTGAGCTCCTGAGCTGGACTTGGCAATCCCAGCCCAGAGCTGGAGGTCGAGCTCCTGAGCTGGACTTGGCAATCCCAGCCCAGAGCTGGAGGTNGAGCTCCTGAGCTGGACTTGGCAATCCCAGCCCAGAGCTGGAGGTCGAGCTCCTGAGCTGCTGTAGTGAACGATGGCAAGTTCAGTGTGGCACTTGCACTCCTGCTGCTCAGTCAGGGTGTTTGCAGTGGACTAAAAATAAGTACTTCAGGCCAGACTTGGGACAATTGAGCCATGTGTCATGCAAGTGGAGGCAAGAAAGGACCTTAAACCATCTTGATCTTCCTTATTTCCCTCCCACTCCTCATTTCTAGTTGTGAAATCATCTCAGAGCTCTGCCTGCATTCCTCAAGCTGTGATGCCCGTTTTGATGAGGTGGTTAAATAGCATAAACTCATTAAGCACTCCTGACTAATACTCAGTGACATAACAGCATTTCTTCTCCATAGCTGGCTTGCATAAATGCTGCATTTCAGTTTGGGTTACCCTTTCCATGTCATGCTTCTCGTTTCTGTGATGTCCATCTGTTTACCAGACAAGGTTCTGGTGGCGGGGGCAGGGAAATAGTCTCAGAATACAAAAAGAAGAAGCCCCACAAGCGAGGCCAGCTGGGGCTTGGAGCAGCCTGGTCCTGAGCAGTGAGTGCAGCCCCGCTCCAGCTCTGAGCGGGGTCACTGGTGCAGCCCCAGCTGAGGCCCTGCAGCAGCATCCCCTGGCCAGGCCTGTGTCCTGCTGCTGTGCTGTGGAGAGGTGAAACACCACGTGTAGGAAAGATGGTTTAGTTGTTAAAATGAAACATATCATTTCAAACTAGATAGCAGATGTACCCAGCAGCTTCAGCAGAGGCAGTGACTGTGAACAGATCATGTCAACTTGATGTCTCTCAGCTTGATTGGTTTTCCCCTGAGAACGGGTTCAGTTGGGCTGCCTGTGGTGTCAGGGCTACCTTAGTGGTGCCCTTCTGGCCTTCTGACTCTTCTTTCTGCCACAGGTATCTGTTCTGGATACCTTTTTTCCCCCACCTGTGTCAGCCTTGGAGTTTTCTTTCAAATCTGTGACTTCTCAAGGCACAGCAGGAGCTGAGGGTCTTTATAGCAAAACTGGAGAGCTGGGCTTAGATGGGGAGAAGAGGTGTGAAAGTCCTTCCTTAATCTGGACCAGGAACAGAGGAGTTAATATGTGCGCTGGCCAGAAGGCTCTACACAGATCTTAAAATAACCAAGAACAGGATAATTTGGCTTAAAAAACCATCTGGGTCTTGATTCAATGCTCATTAAAATTCATAGTAGCCTTATGACTGGCTTGTGGAAGAATTAAGTAGGGTGTTACACTTTATAATGAGTACTTTGGGCCCTGGCCAAGAAAGTACATCACTGCCTACAACAATGCTAGAAATTAACTTCTTTCCTGTAACATACAGCTCAGAATCAGGATCTTTGAAGCACTTGTGGAAGTCAGTGAAAAAGCTCTGCTTTCAAGGGATTTTGGATTGCACCCCCAGAACAGCTGTTAGGGCTGACTCTGGGAAGAAGTCTCTGGGGAGTGGCCTCTGAGCTGTTCCTGCTGTAGCAAGCTGTCCACTTCGGGCACACTCACAGGGAATCTGCAGGGATCAGAGCTCTGAGTGTGCAGGGAGAGGGGGGAAATCAGACTGCAAACCCAGCTGCTGCTCTGCAGTATACAGGCCATAAAATGAAAAATGTGTGCTGTTTATTTCCTTAGAAACGTAAATGTAATAACTAATGTCACACGTAGTTCAGGTCCTGTAGCACCTCATCAGCCATAAGATGCTCCTGTCTGCGACTGCTACTGAGGCAACCTCCTGATTTCTGACCCTTTCTTAGAAAATACTGGCCGGTGTTAATAGGGAAGAACATAGCAATTCTGCTGCTCACTCCCAAATGGGGAGTTTGCAAAGCTCTTTGGGCTTTTGTGCTCTCTTCCAAGTTCTAAATATGTTCTCCCAAAGCGTCTCCGAACAGCAGCTGAGTGACGTAAAGCTGAGCCAGGAACTTATTTAGGGAACGTTGCCTTTTATTCCTGTGCCATTTAAAGGCATGTTTTTAAAAAGGTCTCGTAGAACTCAGGGTCACCTGAATTGTGTCTGGCTACTCGTAACTGGTGGTCTGGGTGGTGGGCTGTGGCTGTACCTTCAGCAAATGGCAGTCCCAGTTTAAAGAAGGAAATGAAGGAATTTTCCAGATAACTACTCAAGTATTTCTGTAACAAATCTTTGTTCACAACTCTACCCCAGGCTTTCAGTTTTCATCAAAGTTCTGAAGACCTAAATAAGAAAATGCTCATTTTGAGCGTTAACAAGAATGTTTTCAAAGGTCACATGTGCAAATGAACTAACTTAATACTTATTTGAACGTATTTTTTTCTGAATTCATTTGCTTGTAAAATTTATTTGGCACTTCAGAGAGCACATGAGCAATAAAAGTAGTTTTGAATTAGTAGCTTGAGGAATGATGAAGCAGATGATGAACTGAAGTTTTTCAGTTATTTTTACAATGCCATCTTCAGAATCTCTAAATGTGCAGAATGGGAAACATTACATTTTATTTACAGTTTAAACTACTATGTTTTATGTTGCTCCTTCTTGAATTATTATAATTCAGAATGTGGAGCTTTCCTTTAATGTTTATATAGATATAAATAGACACGTCTCAGTGGATTATTTTCTGGTGCCATGTGGGAGAGGATTCCGGTTGAGTTATTCCACCATGGTTCCCCTCTCCCAGCAGCCAGCAGGGCCCAGGCTCATTCCAAAGGAAGGATGTTTGCTCTGCCAGGAGCCAGCAGGTCCGTGTGCTCAGGAGGACTGTGGCTGTGCCCAGCCTGGCCTCCATTAATCACGGGGTGCCTGTCCTCTGGAACAGGCATTGCCTGACTTGAGTGCACGTTTCAGTTCCTTACTGTGGGATCTGACAACATTAATAGTTGCACACACGCTTTGGGTAGTTGTGAAACTTATTTTTAATGGAGAAAGTGGCAGTTGGAGCTTTACTGTGTGTGCTGCTGAAACTGTGTCCCAGAGCAACCAGCACCTCACGCTGTCTTAGGCTGGGATTGAGGCTCTTATAAATTCCAGCCCAAATGAAGGCTGGAGGAGATTGCTGAAGATAAAGAAGATGAGAGGCTTCTGTAACTACTGTCAGAAGAGACCAAAAATCGCTCTTATGGGAGGTAGAAATGAACTTTTTCTCTCTCCTCTGTTGTAGCAGTTAAGAGCACCAGACAAGGATGTCACAGCTACCATTTTTCTATATTATATCAATAAATCTCTGAGTGGGGATTATAACCACTTAATCCTTTCCAACCCCTCCTGAGGACTGCAGAGCATTCACAGCTTGTGGAGCCAAGGGAAACCAAGGGTACAACATTGGGACAAGCTGCTTTC